GAGGCTAATTGCAGGCAGTTTTAGTCTAAATCCCTCCAGTCTTATTCAAAAATTCCTCGCATGCGTTAGGACCCTGCAGGCATTAAGGAGCTTACTGCCCTAACTCAAGGCCAAGCCGTAGTTCTGGCCTGTACCTGAGAGAGGTGCCCAGCAATTCCCACAGGGGCCCAGTGGAGAGAGACTCCCATGCTAGGTCAGGCAGGGTGGCCAAAGCACCCTGATTCCCAGTAATGTCGGGGTACAAACCCAACAGTGGATTTCTTGCATCTGGGCGTGTTTTGAAGGCCTGCATTCCTTTGGCAGATGTGAAACTTTGGGGGGAATTCATCCAGCCAGCGTTTATTTGCATCAAATTGGGTGCCAAGTTCAAGGACAATCCGTAGCAGTGAAGACCAGCCCGGTTCATGTTGGCACAGTGAAAATGAACCAGCTCATTGCTGATAGGGCCAGTGATGAGGCTGCGCCGGATGCAAACCGGGGGGCATGAACTAAGGAGAGATGGGGTGGGGGCTCCCTTGGAGCCATGGTTAGGAAATGTCTCTGGGATGAGCTCCCTTCCCAGATGGTACCGAGGGCCGGAAGAGGGAATGCGATCCTGACTTTCAAGATTCTAAAGGTACGAAGAGTGGAGGAGAGAGGAGGTGGGGATGACTGGAGCCCCCTGTGCATTGCTGGAGGGAACCCCAAAACAGTACAGCCACCGTGGGAAACAGTCTGGCAGTTCCTCGAATGTTCAACAGCAGGATCCTCTGACCCAGGTGTCTAGTCAAGAGAAACAAGAAGATACATCCTTGCAAACATGTGTACGTGAGTGCGCACCGCGGCATGATTCACAGTAGCAGAGAAGTGGCAGCGACCCAAGTATCCATCAGTGCGGGAAGGATACACAAAACGGGGTCCCGCTGCCCCATGAACAGGCTATCCAGCCTTAAAAAGGGATGAGGCCCTGATGGTGAGACAGGTCCCGCGTCGTGGGTGGGGCTCGCACAAAGGTGAGTGGAATATGCCAGATGCAAAAAGCCTACATATCTGGGTGCCTGGGCGGCTCAGGGTGTGACCCCGGGGTCCCGGGATCGAGTCCCGCATCAGGCTCCCACATGGGGCCTGCTTCTCCCTCTGCCTGTGTCTCTGCCTCTCTCTCTCTCTGCGTCTCTCAGGAATAAACAAATAAAATCTTAAAATAATAATAAAAAGCCTACGTATCACACGATTCCATTCTCATGAAATGTCCAGAACAGGCAAATCCCGACAAAACGAGGAAGTGGATTTAGTGGTTGCTGGGGGAGGGGGTGTGGGGGGGTTCAGGGGTGACAGCTAAGGGATGCAAGAATATTCTTTCTGGGCTGATGACCTGCTCTATTACGATCCACCGTTGACGGTGGCTGCACAACTCTGTGAACTTGCTAGAAGTCGCTGAGCTGCACACTTTATTTATTTATTTTTTGTTTGTTTTTGAGCTGCACACTTTAAATGGGTGAATTATATGTGAATTCTATGTCAATGAAGCTGTTAAAAAAAAAAGTGGAAGGAGAAAATGTGTGCTCCTGCTCCCCTCCCAGGGGGGCAGCATCTGTTGCCAGTTTCTCTGGTCTCCTTCCGGAGACGTTTGCTACACCTGCAAGGAAGTGCATTTCTCACTTGCACCAGCAGCGTGCCAGGCTGAACTTTGCTGTGCTCACTCAACCCAGTGACTTAGAGGTCCTGCACCCAGAGCTGCCTTGCTCCATCTCTCTCTCTCTCTCTCTTATCTAGAGAGTATTCCTTGGACGGCGCACTGCTACTTTAATTCCCTGAACAATGAGTGTTTAGGTCGATTCCTTTTTTTTCTGGCCACGTAAACATTGCTGTCAGAGGTCAGGTCACACGTGAAAGAATATCAATAGGAGAAATTTCTAGAAGGGAAATGGCCGGGGCAAAGTGCGTGTTCATTTTAATTTGAATAGATATAGCTGAATTGCCTTCCGCTGGGCTGTGAGTTCATCCAGCTAGGTGAGTGCCTACGTGGCTTCTGAGCAGTGACCTGAAGGATGAAGGGGAAGGATAGGAAGGTTCATGTTATAGGGTTCCCGGTGGAAGGCACAGCCCATGCAAAGGCCCTGGGGCAGGACCCAGGCCTGGTGTATCGGAGGAACAGGGAAGAGGCCTGTTTGACTGGAGCAGGCCTCCAAAGGCCTCAGGAGGACTTTGGTCTTTACCCTGAATGAAATGAGAGGCGGGGGAAGGTTGTGGGGGCAGAGGAATGTCATCACCTGACTGCTTCCAGCTGCTCTGGGGACAGACTGTTGGGGATCAAGACTCTGTCTCCACCCAGGGGTGCCTGGGTAGCTCAGTCCATTGAGCGTCCAACATTTGGTTTCAGCTCAGGTCATGATCTGGCGTCTGGGGGATCGAGCCCCGTGTTGGGCTCTGAGCTCAGCGTGGAGTTGGCTTCAGATTCTCGCCTCCCCCCACCCCCGTCTCTGATTGTGTGTGCGCACTCTCTCTCTTTCTAAGAGAATTTTTTTTCTAAAAGAATTTTTAAAATATCTTAAAAAAATAAAATACTCTGCCTCTACCTGGTTGAGCCCCATTGTTGCTCATTACACCAGAGCAGTGACCCCTGCCCTGCTCCCCTGCCCCCCATTGTCTATCCTCCCCAAAGCAGCCAGAGGGACTCAAGTGATGACTCTCTCCCCACCAGGGCTCTCACCTCCCTCAGGGTGAAAGTCCAAGTCCTCCCAAAGCCTCTTGTACCTCTGTGCCCTCACCTTCTCCCCCTCTGTCCCCCATCATTCGCTCTGTTCTGGCCATGTGCCCCCCCGCACTGTTCCTCCAACATGCCAGGCACAGCCCTGCCCCAGGGCCTTTGCACGGGCTGTTCCCTTTGCCTGGAACCCTGTACCTCAGATCTCCCCATGGTTTTCCCCTCTCCTCTTTCAATTCTCTGCTAAAATGTCACCTCCTCAAAAGGGCCTCCCTTGCCCAGTCTGGTTAAGACAGAACTGAGTAGTTGAAAGGACACCCTATTTTCATATCCTCAAAACTCATCTGAGATAACTCCCTTTTGCTGCTAACTTTTTTTTTTCTGCTACAATTTTGATTTTAGATTTTCCCACTTACGGGGCTCCTCCTGGGTGTGTAGACGCTGTGCTGAGCACTTTGCAGTCTTGGTGAGCACCCAGTGAGGGAAGTATGATCTTTCTCATTATACCACTTGGGATTGTCAGGGTGCTAGGAGGTGGTGTTAAATGCCCAAGGCCATCTAGCTAATGAAGTTTCTGTCAACAACAGCTCAGGCTGGGACTCACCCAGCCCCAATCTTTCTTTCTTTCTTTCTTTCTTTCTTTCTTTCTTTCTTTCTTTCTTTCTTTCTTTCTTTCTTTCTTTTTTCTTTCTTTCTTTTCTTGATTTTTTTTTATTTATTCATGAGAAACATGGAGACACAGACAGAGGGAGAAGGAGGCTCCCTGCAGGGAGCCCTGTGTGGGACTCAATCCCAGGACCCCGGGATCACGCTGAAGGCGGATGTTCAACCACTGAACCACCCAGGTGCCCAGCCCCAACATTTCACCCCAGATTTTGCCTTGTGCCCCCTGTGCTCTAGATGAACTCTGGAGGGAAGGCCAGAGCAGGGCCATAGCCTACTGAGGGTAACACAGGGAGCAGATGGTCAAGTGGGCCCTGAGCTCAGGTCTGGACATCCCAGGGCTGATCCACCCTTCTAAGCATCTTCCCTTCCTGGGACCCTCCAGGACCATCCCAGGAGGTTGGCCAGGCTAGAGATGATCCCTCTGTTAAATACATAATAATACTGCAGTGGAGGCAGTGACAAGATTATTGGGGCCCATTCCCCCAGTCCATGCCAGGCACTGTGGGAAGTTCTGGAAGGCACGCACTATCTCCTTGCCCATTTTACAGATGAGGAGGTGGAGGTGCAGACAGGCAACATTATCTGCAGAGGGTGGCATGACAGGGAGGTGGGGGCTCCAGGATTTTTACCTGGATTTTGAAAACTAAAATGCCAGCCATCTCCGCCACCATGCTCTCATAACAGAGTCCCCAGGGGAGTGACTTGGGCCAACGTCTCTCCACCCACCTCCACTTCCACCTCTGCACCTGGGCCTCCAGGAACCATCCAGAAAACCTCCTTTGCTCAGCCAGACCAATGCCACATGCCCTTTTCTTTCCTGGGGCCAGAAGCCACCCCCTTCCTTGCTGCTGTGCCTTCTTCTTCTTCTTCTTTTTTTTTTTTTTAAAGATTTTATTCATTTATTCATGAGAATACACAGAGAGGAGAGAGAGAGAGAGAGAGAGAGAGAGAGGCAGAGACACAGGCAGAGGGAGAAGCAGGCTCTCTGCTGGGAGCCCAATGTGGGACTCGATCCTGGCACCCCGGGATCATGACCTGAGCTGAAGGCAGATGGTCAACTGCTAGGCCACCCGGGCGTCCCTCCTTCCTTGCTTCTTTTGCTGGGGGCACCATCTCTGTTGTCTGAGGGCTCAGAGACCCTGGAGACCCATGGCGTGTCCCGGTCTCTCACCCACCGGTCACGGAGCAGGGAATGGGGGGGAGGGTTCTGAACAGTCATGACTTAATAGAGTCAAGGACATTGGGGCCCAGTCATTCTCTGTGGGGGGCGCCCTGGGCACTGTGGGGTATCGAGCAGCACCTCTGGCCCTACCCATTTGACAGCCAGTAGCCTCCGCCCCCACCAGTCCTGACACCTGTAGACGTCTACAGACCCTACCCCATGCCCCCTGGGGAGGCAGGATGATCCTGGTTGAGAGCCTCTGGCTTGGTTCCTACTCTGGCTTCTGGTTCACCCTTTGTGAACTCCCTGGGCCCCAGGGGGCCCCCAGCACCTTTCCTTCTTCCTCTGTCCCCTGCCTTCCCAACTGCCTCTGGGGAGCTTGGAGGACAGGCCCCACCACTGCCCCCCACCCCTCACTACCTGCAATGGGTTTTCTTTGTGGAAGTCCGAAGTCCCTTGAACCAACAAGTACATTCTCTTCTTCGCCAGAATGTGCTCCCGGCCCACGCAGGAGGCTTGCACGAAGTAGAAGACGTGGCCGATTTTGCTGGTGAAGGTAGAAGGAAGCCTGGGAGGTAAGCTGAAATGGAAGTCAAAGGTGTGGCTGCCTGCACTTAACCAATTATCTGAAAGCAAAACACACCGACGCCATCAGAAGGTTCTAGAATCTTTTTTCTTTCTTTCTCCCCCCCTCCCCTTTATTTGTTGGTTTGGCAGGGGATTTGTTCTGGGTCTGGCCCACCTGTCCCTGAGTTAGGCTGAGTTCTGTGCTTTTAGGCATCTGCAAGCCGGGCTGGAGGGGGATGCCCTGGGTGGGTGATGCGGCTGGAGTGGTCACCCCAAATACCCATAAGGATGTGCTCACCTCTACTCTGGGTCTGAGAAACTGGAGGTCCAGCCCCCAGTCGCACATTCGTTCAACAAACACATCTTGAGTGCCTACTGTGTGCCAGAGGCTCTTTTAGGCTGTATTTGCAGCAGAGAGGAAGGCCAGCACATCTCCCTGCCCTCCTGGAGCCTGGGCTTCAGCACACAGCATACAGTAGGCATTTAACATGTGTTGAGTGGCAACCGAGGACCAGGGAGCAACTCACACAGCCCCCATTTCTGTAACTTCCTCATTTTTAAAAACTGTTATTTTCATTCATCCAAATGCCTCTCATTGTTGTGTCTTCCCCCCTGGATGGCTATCCCAGTGACTCCAGGGACAGTGTTTGGTTTATTCACCGCCGCACCCCCAGCACCTGGCTCAGTGCCGTGTACAGAAGGTGCTCAATAAATGTTTTCGAAATAAACGAGTGAATCCATTGAAGGCTCGGGCTTATGCTTTCAAGGGGAAACGCTTGGCGATGGGAGAGGGTGGTACCTGATGCTGAGGGTAACTGGGTGGGGAGTGCTTGGGTTGAAAAAATGAACACTTATGAAGCACTTACTGTATGCTCCGCACTATTCTAAGCCCTACACGTATCACTCAATCGCTACGTCCTCAAAGCAATTGTACGAGGCAATCCCTTTTCTGGTTTCCATTTTCCAGATGGGTTAGTGGGACACTGAGAAGGCAACATAAGGCCTGGCATGTTGCCATTCCTCCCCTAGATATCTGCACGGCTGGTGTCCCTCCCATCACTCAGCTCTGAGCTCAGTCATTCCCTCTTTGAAGAGACTTTTGCATGACCTCCCTATCTAAAAATTTTAAAAGTCTAAATTTAAACTTTGTTCAGCCAAGCGTTGACTAAAAGTTGTGGCATACCTAGGAACGCTCCCATGAGCACATTTTGGAAAGGACTTTAGCTCCGGGGCAGTTCAGCCTCCCCGAGGTCTGTCCAGACTTTGGATCTGAACCTGCTGGAGGTGGGAGTTGGTTATTCTCTCCCTAGAATGTCTTCTCTGCCTCCTATCTCTTTCCCTGGGACCAGAAGACTCCTTTATTTTGTCTCCTCACGTTTCACTGCCAGAGGGAGATTTATCTCTGTAAAATAACAAAACAGAATAAAAAAAAAATGGCTTCCCAAAGTGGTCGTTGGGCTAAGGATAGCATTTTTTCCAGGGAAACTACTTTGAAAGCTCATTGCAAATATCTGATCCACTCCTCATGTCTTGTTATTTTCTTGTTATGTGTAACTGATGGTCATTGTTATACATTGCTTCCCTCTTGGGGAGGAACCAGGCCTCTGCCCATTGCTGGTAACCCTGGGGGATGAGTTTGCCTTCCAGACCCAGATTCCTATTATGGCCAGAGTTGGCTGCTGGCTTTGTCTTACCCTCTACTGGGAACGTCTTCATCTTCTGCACATAGTCGGCCTTGTTGTTGCAAATAACATCTCTGCTATAATCACGGGATGCCCCGATTTCTTCATTCCACTCCACATAACCCCTTCCCACCAGCTCCACCTTCACTATAGGGTCCACCAGGGTGCTGTTCAGGATTAGAACCACCTGCCCTTTTATGCTGGAGCCAGCCAGGTAGACTGCATCCTTGGGCAACACTAATTCGATTGACTTCACCACAGACATGGGGGGTTGGGGTGGTGGAGAAACATCCTCCCTCCTCCCCCATGCCACTGAGATTCCCGGTTCCTTTGCCGCAGTGAGGTCACCTGTCTGTGACATCATTCAGCCAGGGTTCTGGGAAGGGGTCTCTAGTGGCCAGGAGGGGAGACAGGGCTGTTGTTCAGGGGTGAGATAGCTGGGGAATTCCAAAGTCCTCACTGGCTTATGAAATGATAGCCCAACCACTTTTTTCTTTTTCTGTAGGAAACAACAAATACATAAGCCAAAACAACCATAGGACCCTAGCATTCTAGCTACATAGGGGACACCTGTCATCATGCTGGGAGGTTAGAGGCCTAGGTGGGAAGGACTCTGGTGAGGTAGGTATTATGAGCTTTACCTAGAGATGGAGAGGAATGAGCCCAAAGATATTATCTGTTCTATCAGATGGCTCCCAAATGTGGCATGTGCACTCCTTAGGGTTCATACACTGGTTAAACTCATACACAATCATTATCATTTTAAAAAAATTATTTATTTGAGAGAGAAAGAGAGACCTTAGAGGGAGAGGGAGAAGCAGATTCCCTGCTGAGCGGAGAGCCCATTGCAGGGCTCGATCCCAGGACCCTGAGATCATGACCTGAGCCAAAGGCAGATGCTCAACCAACTGAGCCACCAGGGTTCCCAAAATCATTGTCATTTTAATGGTTCTCTCTATATACCAGTCCCTGATAGAAAAAAAATTATACTTATGGCCAAGACATGAAATCTGGTGTGTCCGGACTGAAGATGCTTAGAGCATTGTGTGCTCCCCCTAAACATCTCCTTATACATCTGACATTTCTCTTTACACTCGTGTCTCCTCCCATTGAATGGGAAGTCCCCAGAGGGTGGGACTTAGTTTCTGGAAGCTTTTTGCCCATCAACATCTGCTTGACTCTGGGGCTGGTTCAGACAAGAGGGGTGTCAATAAAAGTTTGTTGAGTGACTTAGTGACCTTCCAGAATATATCATTTTGCAAAAAGGAAACAGGCCTTTTGCCCACTAATGGTTTTCCTGGGGCCTGACTTGCATGTGGGCAGTGGTGAGCCACTGGAGCAGAAGAGGTGCCAGGAAGTGTCCATTCTCCAGACTCTGGCAGGCCTTCTTCATTGTCTTTGTCCTATCTTGCTTTATTATTTCATATCATGTCTTTTGTAAGCATTGCTAGTTTGTCTCCCTGAGTGGTTTGTAAACTTCTTCCGGAGATGCCTGGGACAGTCTTTTATTCATGTTTGTTAATGAACCCAAGCAACCTCTCCAACTTTCTGAAAATGATTGGAGAAATGGGCCCCTCAAAGTCCCTCCTGCAGGGAAAGCCAGACCTCTTTCTGCGTTACTTGATTTGGGATATCTGAGGGGCTTGGGCTGTGCCCTGCTCCAAATACGCCTGAAGAATGTTTTCCCTCTTTTGGTCCTGTTGAGTTTTTGCAACAGTAGGTACAAACAGATGATATGCTCTCACCAGGGATGGGCCAAGTTCCCATGGCAGGTTCCTAGCATGAAAAATCTCATCACAGACTCAGGTAGGCCAGCTTTATACCTGCCGGTCCCTGGGATGTGGTCTGTACCCAGCTGATGGGTGTGTGCCCAGAGAGATACTTAGTAGCACAGAGGAAATTCTGAAGTTGGAAGAAGTTAACTGTAGCATCTGGACTTTGTATCTTGGACTCTATTTGTTCCCTATGACTTCTATGACAAATCCTCACATTTTTAGTGACTTAAAAAACAAATTTATTCTCTTACCGTTCTGGAGGTCAGAAATCCAAAACAGGTCTTAAGGGGCTAAGAAGGTGTTTTAGGGTTCTAGGAGAGGAATCCGGCCATCACCTTTTTTGGAGTCTATGGGTTTCCTCACATTCCTTGTCTGTGGGTCTCATCATGCCAACCTCTACTTCTGTTGTCACTTCTTCTCTACCCTTCTGCCTCTTTCACTTGTTAGGACCCTTGTGATGAGTTTGGACCAGCCTGCAGAATCTAAAATAATCTCCCCCACTGAAAGGTCTTTAAATCTCATCTGCAAGGTCCCTTTTGCCATGGAAACTACCATATTCACAGGCTCAGGGATTAGGATATGGCTATCTTTAGGGGGACATTCTTCTGTCTGCCACTTGGGGAAATAATAGCAGAAGGACCAGTGCCTAGAAGAGACTCTACTCAGTGCCAGGGAGACCTGTACAAACAGAAGTTGGGGGTCATCAGTCTTCTGCTCAGTCTTCCTGTGCTGCTCACTGCTCTCAAGAGATAAAGCCCAAAGTCCTCCTGGTGGCCCTTGAGGCCTTAGATGCCACCCCTCTCTGACAGTGTCCCCTCTCTGCTCAGCTACACTGGCTCCTGGCTGCTCCCTGCTACATTTCTAAGGCTTTTCTGGCCTCCGAGCTTGCCTGTCCCTCCCTGACCCATCTGTCCTTGGTTTCTATCTCAGATCTCAGCTCAAATGTCATCTGTTCAGAGAGGCCCACCTCTCCACCTCAACCAGAACGTCCTCTCTGCCCACCCCCCACATGCCTCTCCAGCTACTGTCCTGTCTTCAATGCAAATAGCAGTATCTGAAATGATTTGCTTTACGTATTCATTTTTTTTGCCTGTCTCTCCAGACAAGAATTTACCCTTCTGGAGACCACCAACAGGGTTGGCCTTGCCCATTGTTGGGGCCCCCCCAGCTCTGAACACTGCGACCGGGCGCTTTGTAGGTGCCCAGCATGGGTCACTGTGTGCCCGCCAAGGCTGGCCATAGCAGAGCAAGCAGGGCGGAGGGGGCAGGGCAGTCCTGCCCGCCTGGACAGCCGGCGAAGGCGGGAAAACGAGGCGGGAAACCCAGCAAACAAGCCCTGCGGGTGGGTAGGGTAGGGAGCTCTAGCAGGCCCTGACGCCAGGAAATGGAGCTTGGGGCGATCAGGCTGGCCATCGGGGTCCAGGCGATCTCGAGAGGGGCCCCCACATTCTACTGCCGTGTTTAAACATGGATTCTGGCCCTCCTTGCCCTACTGGTCAGTGCGCGCCCCTGCCCGGGGGAGAGGGGCTGTGGAAAAGGAATG